GGGGACGGCGGCGCGGGGGCCTCGCGCCTCCTCGAGCGTCTCTTGCCCCGCCACGACGACTTCGCGAGGAGGCACATCGGCCCCGGGGACAAAGACCAGCGGGAGATGCTGCAGGCCTTGGAGCTGGCGGTAAGGACTCCCTGGCCTCAGGCCTCCCCCCGGTCCCCGCCCGGTCCCGCGCGCGCCCTGGGTTGGCTGCCCCGCGCGCACAGGTCCCGGGTCCCCGTGCCCCAGCGTCCCGTACCCGCTTGCTTTCTCCACCCTCTTATCGCGCCTCAAAATCTGACATTTTTAAACCCAAGGCTTGGTCAACCCTAGTCGCCTGCGGATAAGCCCTAACTTTGCAAGACCTGGAAGATCTCCTGGTTAGCCTGGGTTTATCCGGTTATCTCCGGTCGCCGACGGAATTCCAGTCCGGAGTGGCCCCAGTCACATTCCTGCTTATTTCCTTTCCTCTGGTTGGCTTGTGGTTTGCTCCAAGTTTTTCTTTTCTCTTTCAAAAGCACCCCGATTTAATGAGGCGATTTAAATGAGGTTCCCACAAGCCTTTGTCGATGCAAAACACACAGTTTTTAACTCTCACTCGGAAGCACTTTGCTTGGCCTTTAGTGGTCACCGACTTCCGTTTGACTTTCAGAGCATTGAAGAGCTGATTGAGAAGACGATCCCCGCCAGCATCCGTTTGAGGAGACCTTTGAGAATGGAAGACCCCGTGTGTAAGTGGCCCGGAGGCGTCTTCTGCAAGCGCCCCTGTCGACTCTGGCCTATTTGCCTTCTGTGGCGCTGGAAGTCCAGCTCTGGATTAGGATGGCTCAGGGCTGTGAATATGTTGATTAAAATAAAACGGCGGCAGATATCTGGGATGGTGGGAGAGTTCGTTCCCTGAGCAGTCAGTTCCATACCCAAGGAGGGGGTCCACGCAGCGTCCTTATCCCAGAACTTCCCAGAGCTCCCTGAGGCCCAACAAGCTTGCCTGGGATGGGAAAGGGGTTGGGCAGTGCACATACACGCTTGGAGAACCCAATTCCCAGGCACCAATTACCGAGGCCAGGGTTCTCTCATGCTGTGGGTTGAGAGGTGTCACCATCTCCTCTGTCGTTACTGTTAGCAGAGTCAGTGGTGGAATTCTGCCTTCCATGTGGGAGACCTAGGTTCAGTTCCTGGCCAATGCATCTTGTGCAGCCACCACCTAGTCTGTCAGTGAGGCTTGCATGTTGCGATGGTGACTTCCTGGAGTCTCTGGGTGGCACTTGACTACTTGACTAAGCGCTTGACTACTAGTCAAAAGGTTGGCAGTTCAAACCTATACAGAGGCGCCTTGGAAGACAGGCCTGGTGATCTACTTCCGAAAGGTCACAGCCTTGAAAACCCTATGGATCAGTTCTACTCTGCACACGTGGGGACGCCATGAATTGGAATCAACTAACAACATAATCACTTTACCAATTAAGACAGAGACTAAAAAAGGCATAAGGAATTACCTTAAGTCATGCAGCTAGGGAAGTGACAAAAAATGGGAGAAGAGACAGATACCTGGCCTCCTAGCCCGAGGCTTTTCACAACACAGTGGCTTCAAATTGTCCTCTTATATCACGCTGAAATTTTAATAGCTACATCCTGAAAGCCAGCAGTACTTTTCAGGTCTGAGTGGTTCTCTAGAAATAAGATTTACGCTTGGCTAAGAAAGCTGTTTACTCATAGACTTCCTTAGAATTTTATTTTACACTTGAAGTAGTTTTTTTTTCTTTTTAAATTTTTATTAACGCACAAATTATTTTGCCACCAAGTGTAAAGTGGGGACTTTGAACATTACTTTCCTTACCCTACTCCTGCACCCTCCCCAAACAAAGCAAACCACTCAAATTCTAGGTTTCTATCAGCATTTTAGGTGAAGCCCTAGTGGTGCAGTGGTTAAGAGCTTGGCTACTAATCAAAAGGTCAGCAGTTTGAATCCACTGGCTGCTTCTTGGAAACCCTATAGGGCAGTTCTGCCCTGTCCTGTAGGGTCACTATTAGTCGGAATAGACTTTACAGCAATGGGTTTTGGTTTTGATCTTATCAGCATTTAAAGAGGTTTCCATTGGGTAGTTTTTGCCTGAATTAGCAGGTGACTCTACTTTTTGTATTCACATATCTCATATTCACTAAGAATGTTGTTGTTGTTAGGTGCCATCCAGTCCGTTCCGACTCATAGTGGCCCTATGTACAACAGAACAAAACACTGCCCTGTCCTGCACCATTCTCATAATTGTTGTTATGCTTGAGCCTATTGTTGTAGCCACTGTGTCAATCCATCTTGTTGAGGGTCTTCTTCTTCTTCGCTGGCCCTCTACTTTACTAAGCATGATGTCCTTCTCCAGGGACTGATCCTTCCTGATAACATGTCCAAAGTATGTGAGACGTAGTCTCGCCATCCTTGCCACTAAGGAGCATTCTGGTTGTACTTCTTCCAAGACAGATTTGTTCATTCTTTTGGCAGTCCATGGTATATGCAATATTCTTTGCCAACACAACGATTCAAAGGCGTCAATTCTTCTTCAGTCTTCATCGTCCAGCTTTTGCGTGCATATGAGGTGATTGAAAACACCATGGCTTGGGTCAGGCACACCTTAGTCTTCAAGGTGACATCTTTGCTTTTCAACACTTTGAAGAGGTCTTTTGCAGCAGATTTGCCCAACGCAACACGTCTTTTGATTTCTTAACTGCTGCTTCCATGGGTGTTGATTATGGATCCAAGTAAAATGAAATCCTTGCCAGCTTCAATCTTTTCTTCGTTTATCATGATGTTGCTTATTGGTCCAGTTGTGAGGATTTTTGTTTTCTTTATATTGAGGTGTAATCCATACTGAAGGCTGTAGTCTTTGATCTTCATCAGTAAGTGCTTCAAGTCCTTTTCACTTTCAGCAAGCAAGGTTGTATCATCTGCAGATCTCAGGTTGTTAGTGAGTCTTCCTCCAGTCCTGATGCCCTGTTCTTCCTCATATAGTCCAACTTCTTGGATTATTTGCTCAGCATACAGTTTGAATAGGTATGGTGAAAGGATACAATCCTGATGCACACCTTCCCTGACTAAACCACATGGTATCTCCTTGTTCTGTCCGAATAACTGCCTCTTGATCTATGTACAGGTTCCTCAAGAGCACAATTAAGTGTTCTGGAATTCCCATTCTTTGCAATGTTATCCATAATTTGTTATGATCCACACAGTCGAATGCCTTTGCATAGTCAATAAAACACAGGTAAACATCTTTCTGGTATTCTCTGCTTTCAGCCAGGATTCATCTGACATCAGCAATGATATCCCTGGTTCCACGTCCTCTTCTGAATCCGGCTTGAATTTCTGGCAGTTCTCTGTTGGTATACTGCTGCAGCTGCTTTCGAATGATCTTCAGCAAAATTTTACTTGCATGCCATATTAATGATATTGTTCGATAATTTCCACATTCAGTTGGATCACCTTTCTTGGGAGTAGGCATAAATAAGATCTCTTCCAATCGGCCAGATAGCTGTCTTTCAAATTTCTTGGCATAGACCAGTGAGGACTTCCAGTGCTGCATCTGTTTGCTGAAACATCTCAGTTGGTATTCCGTCAATTCCTGAAGCCTTGTTTTTTGCCAATGCCTTCAGTGCAGCTTGGTCTTCCTTCAGTACCATAGGCTCCTGCTCATATGCTACCTCCTGAAATGGTTGAACTTCCACCAATTCTTTTTGGTATAGTGGCTCTGTGTATTCCTTCCATCTTCTTTTGATGCTTGCTGCGTTGTTTAGTATTTTCCCCATAGACTTCTTCCATACTGCAAGTTGAGGCTTGAATTTTTTCTTCAGTTCTTTCAGCTTGAGAAATGCTGAGCATGTTCTTCCCTTTTGGTTTTCTACCTCCAGGTCTTTGCACATTATAATTATAATACTTTACTTTGTCTTCTCGAGCTGCTCGTTGAAATGTTCTGTTCAGCTCTTTTACTTCATCATTTCTTCTGTTTGCTTTAGCTACTTGACATTCAAGAGCAAGTTTCAGAGTCTCTTCTGACATCTATTTTTCTCCTTTCTTTCCTGTCTTTTTAATGACATCTTGCTTTCTTCATGTCTGATGTCCTTGATGTCATTCCACAGTTCATCAGGTCGCTAAACCTTGTGTCTGAGACTTGAATAAGGGCTTCATTTAATGCTCATTTTACTATTCAGTAGAATCTTAGTCAAAAATTTAAACAGAATTTAAGAAATCAAAGCCAGAATTAAAATGTGTTTTTTAATGGCCTGAGGGCTGCACTTTAGAAGTATTTTATGTAGGTTGATGTCCATGGACGGAGGCAAGAATCCACAAGTTAAGGAGACACACAGAGCTGAGGGACTTTTTTTTTTTTTTTTTAACCGGAAAGAATTCTTATCTGGTTTCAAGTCATAGAGATGGTATCTCTTACATCTGGAGTCAGGTCAAGAGAGAAGGCTGTTGTTCTTTTAGGTCTTAGGATAAAAACAATATATAGATGGTACCTTAGTTATCTAGTGCTGCTATAACAGAAATACCACAAGGAGGTGACTTTAACAAACAGAAATTTATTTTCTCGTAGTTTAGGAGGCTGTTGTTAGGTGCTGTCGAGTTGGTTCCCACTCACAGCGACCCTCTGTACAACAGCATGAAACACTACTCGGTCCTGCGCCATCCTCACAATCGTTATGGTCGAGCCCACTATTGCAGCCACTGTGTCAGTACCACAAGTGAGTGACTTTAACAAACAGAAATTTATTTTCTCACAGTTTAGGAGGCTAAAAGTCCGAAATCAGGGTGTCAGCTCTAGGGAAAAGCTCTGTCAGCTCTGGGGGAAAGTCCTTGTCTCTTCAGCTTCTACTCCTTAGCTCCTTGGTGATCTTCAAGTGGCATGGTGCCTGTCTTTCCCCCATCTCTGCTTCTCTCACTTGCTTGTTTAATCTCTTTTATATCTCAAAAGAGATTGATTTAAGACGCACTGTACACTAATATTGTCTCATTAACATAAAAAGAAAATCCATCCCCAAATGGGATTATAACCACTGCAGGGGTTAGGATTTACAATGCATATTTTTGGGGGACACAATTCAATCCATAACAGATGGCGAGCTCTGTTCTGTTTCAAAGTAGACAGCTTGAGGCAGGGAGCCTGTTGGGCACCAGCTGGTTAATGGTGGACCTAAAGCTCCGTGGAGGTCTGCTGCCCTTATTGGTTTCCCACCTGAACTCTTTCCCCGGATTGCAGGGAAATTCCTCGCAGAAGAGAATCTGCACTTTTTGTTGAATTGAACTAATTGGGACCCAGGGGTAAATGGAAGACTTTTCCTTTTAATTTTGAGAAATCTGAATCAGAATCTTGATGCATTGAATCTGTTGAAAGTGAAGACTTGTGTATTTTTTAAAAGCAAGGCTTAGGTGATTATTTGAGCAAGTAAACAAAAATATATTGGAAAGTGCTAGTCCTAGGACTTTCCAATATTTTTTTTGTTTACTTGTTCAAAGTCAAAATGCTAAATTTAGCTCTTTTTTTTTTTTTTTTTTTACAATATTCTCTAAAATCAAATGTCCTTTAAGAGAATTGAGGACCCCTGGTGGCGCTGTGGTTAAGTGCTTGGTTGCTAACCAAAAGGTCAGTGGTTTGAACCCACCAGCCACTTTGTGGGAGAAAGATGTGGCAGTCTGCTTCCTTAAAGATTACGGCCTTGGAAACCCTATGGGTGGTCCTACTCT